TTCCAGAGGGAAGTGACAATTTTCAAGACATTTCAATGTGATCTTTTTTCTTTTTCTCTCTTTTTAAGGTTTTTATGTAATTTCTACGCCCAATATAGGGCTTGAACTCACAACCCAAGATTAAGAGTCACATGTTCCACCAACTGAGCAATCCCTCAATCTGATTTTTCTTAAGGGAAATATTATTATACTAAACTATTGTTGGAAGGGTAAGACATAAGATATTCAAATATTTCTGTGACGATAAGATTTGTCCGCAGGTCTAAGTTTGCTTCTCAATGAAAATGACAAGAATTTATAGAAACAAGGCCCTTGGAGATAGAAGGATCTGGGCTTCCACTCCAAGGATTAACCACTGACCTTGAAATGTTTTCCCTCCATCTCCCTCTTGTCATGCAAATCAGGATGAACAATAGTACTGCCCCAGGCATGTTAGGAGGCTTAAATGAAGTAATGCACATACCTGACTCTCAAAAAAAAAAAAAAAAAAAAAAATGACCCCCTGGGGAAGGAGGACAGGTTAGAGAATGATAATGACAGTGATGAAAGGCTCAAGGAGAACTGGGAGCTGCTGACTCACCCCTACAAAAGCAGCCATGGTTTGTATACAGACCTTCCTCAGCTTATGATGGGGTTATGTCCCATATGACCCATCACTGAGTTTCAAATATCCTAAAATGCATTTAGTTCCCCTCACCTCCTGAACACTATAGCTTAGCCTAGCTTCACTGCAACTTGCCCAAAACATTTACATAAGCCTACAGTCATGCAAAATCATTGGACACAAATCCTATTTCACATCCAAGTGTTGATGAGCTCCGGTAATTAACTGAATATTGCACTGAAAGTGACCAGCACAATGGCTGTCCCTGTACCACCTGTTCGCCCCCGTGATCGGTATCTGACCAGATGCTGCAGCCCCAGCCTGACGTCCCAGGGCGTCAGGTCGGAGGATCCACAGCACAGCGTCCAGCCCAGAAGAAGAGCCTGATTCACAATTCAGATTATGGTTCACACTCTCACCATCATTTTCTGCACCATCATAAAGTCGAAAAGGTGTATATCGAACCACTGTACTGAACGGGGGGCAGAGGCGATGGAAAGAGGCGAAAGTATCAGGGCTTCTTCCGGGTTTTAGTTGTACAAACTCTCACTCTGGTTCACAGGAGACTCTGGATCTTTTCCCAGTTCAGCTCCCACCCATCCTATCATTCACTTCTCCCTCCGGCTCCCAAAGCAGAGGTACGCCAGTGGCACCTGCAGCCACGGAAGGGATTGTTTCTGAATCCCTTCCTGACCGCAGAGGAACTCATTTACAGGGGCTCAGAATGCTTCTGAGCACTGCCTGTGGGTATGTAGCAAGCAGCACCATGGAAACTGAGGAGCACAAAATGGTGACAGAGCTAAGGGCCGCAACGCTGCATTCAGAGCAAAAGAAGACGGGCGTCACCCACATCCAGCTCCGGTCATTAGTGTCAAGTAGGCCACAGCTCTCCCTGCCCTTCCGTACAGCTGTGGAGTGATGGTGAAAACAAGGGCCAGAGAGAAACAACTCCCCCAACTCCTCCAGCTGCCTATCAGTTATACTCTTTCACCTTCTCTCCCTCCTCTGCCTCTGCTTCTTGGTCAGACTCCAGCTGGATCCATTCGGTGACTTAATGACCATGCTGGTCAAGGTTGATCAAATAAATACAATAGCAGTAGCTGATATCTACTTAGTGCTGGTCACTCTGTACTCTCCCCAACACATGTCATTTCATCCTAACCAAAATCCTAGACAGCAGGTAGCAGTATCATAACCAATGATTCTTGAAGGAGCAGTTTGCTCAAGGCCTTATGAAACAGAGGACCAGGACTGAAACCCAAGCAGTGGGAACCCCCAGCCCCTGCTGCATTACCCCGCCTCCAAATGTGTTCCGGGGCTTGGACATATTCTCCCTACCACAGGGGTTTGGTTGTAAACACAGCCCTGAGGCTTCGGTGCTAGAACTGGATCTTGCCCTGTGTCTGGGTCATTTTCCCAAAGTTTGGGTAACGAAACTTCGTTTCATATTTGGAGGAACTTCTGGTTCATATTTGGAGGAACTTCGAAAGATTTATGTTTGTTTTTTCTTGTTTTTCTGAGTTCCCAGGGCCATGAAAAGCCAGGCAGGCCAGGAAGCACCTCCCTGCACCCCAGGGGGCAGCATCGTGGGACTCGGCAGGATGCATGAGGGCCCCCTCTGGCCTCTTCTGACTTGTCCATAGGAAAGGAAGTGCCAAAGGGCATGACAAGGGCACGTTATACAACAACTTGACTTTAACACCCATGTCATTCCAGGCTGAAACTTCTGGCCAAGTCAGCTAGATTCATTATCTATACTGCAATTATTAAGCATTTACATGGGGGAGGGCACTCAAATGAGAGCACAGGGCCACCTTTTAGTTTTGGGTTTAGATGTGACAACACCTTTATTGACACAGCCATGCTCAGCTACTTCAAAGTCTCAAGATTAAACATTGCTTAAGCAACTTCACATTCTTGAATTAAGGACCAAATCTGGAAGGGCAGGTTCATCTCTAGATAGTATTTCAAAATTAGCAGAAGGCCAATGTCCTGTAAGGAAAAATCTGTCCCACCTTCAGGGAGTATGAGTCAGCAAGTGTAGCCTCAGTGGTCATTCTGATGCAGGTGGTCTCTGGACTACATTTTAAGCAACACTAAAAGGTAACGTCTAACTAACCTTGTGAAAGGTATTTCATTCCACTTTCCATTCTGAATTTATCTTCCATTTCATCTCAGCCCTGAAGGTAAATTCCTTATAGGCAGGGATTCTGTACCATTGTGCCTAGATCGGGAAAATGCCTGCTGACCAGAGCTGAACACCCCCCAAGCCCTAGGAAGCCTCTCCATGCTGTTTTCATTTCCCAAATTTCTGAAATCTCTCTGGGGAGGTCGTGATCCTCTCTCTAGGACTTTAGTGCGAGCAACAATGTTCCTGTCTGCTCCCATAATTAATGGAGCTGGGCAGGCAGCCCAAACCATCAGGATGGCACATTTCTCAATTGCTGGGCTCTAAGGTCACTAGCCAAGCTCTACTCCATTTCCTTGGGCTGGAGTGGGCCAAGAAAACCCAGTCAAGTACATCAGAGTGAAGCCATGGGAAGGCAGCCAAATCCCATTGGCGGGGGGTGGGGGGGTGGGGGGGTGGCAGGAGTTTACTTCACTACTCCTGCTCCTGGCCCAAATCCAGCATGGCAATGCCATGCTCCTTCTGCACCTTGCAAATTAGGAAAAGGCTCTGTCATCTATGGGTCGGTGTCCTTTTACAGAAGAGAAAACTAATGTTAAAAGAACAGGAGTACTTTCCCAGTCCCATGGCCAACAGTAATCTCATTCAAGTGACCTTGGGATCAAAACTGGCAAAGGCAACCTGGAAGTCCACATGAAGCTTTGCAGCAGAGAGGTACCAAATTCACTCAATGTGCAGAATGTTCTGTGGCTGGCCAAGAAAAGAATTTATAGCAAAGTACGTTAATATTCTAGTATTTGCAGGGCAGAAAGGGAAAGCAATATATGTAAGCATTAGCTGGCATCTGATGGAATTCCTTTAGAAAGGCCAGAAGAAACTGAGTAATTACTGGTTTTCCTCCAGGAGATATCCTGCTCGGCAAGTGTGTGTGTCAGGTATTTCATTGCTTTATGGAGGGGCGGGGCGGGGGAACCTTCTGCTTTTTTAATGTGATTACCTAATCGAATTACATTTTTTTAAGATCAATTTTCAAACATTCATTTTAATTTTTATTTAGCAATATGCCAGGCCCTAGGGTAGTTGGTTGTTCTTAAGTACTGGATAGAGAGGAAGGGAACAGATAATGAGGTAAATCATTACCTTGCCTACTGGGGGTGGGGGTATGGCACAGAGAGAGGCCAGTGGCCTTGCTGGGATGGAAAAGTGGAGAACCAGGTAAGATTTAACCAGATTAAGATTTCCTCCAGGAACTTTTTGGGTCTTATCAAAGAGTAAGACAAGTCATTAGGCCCATTCCTAGTGGGGCAGCTCTCCAGAAAGCCTGAACTGTGATGAGTGTCCCGCCACAGAAAAACACAAGCTAAAAGAACACAACTCTGAACTATTCTATACCAGTCCTTCGGGATGTGTGAAAAAAGTGCACAACAATGGGGAAATGACCGAAAATATCAGAGGCTATTATTATATTCCACTTCCTCCCACCAACCTGGCCCCACTTTCCTCTACACTCACCCAACACACCAGAGTAGCAAAGTTTGATAAAGGGCACTAAAAAGGCTGACATTTACAAAGTGCTCAAAAGAGCGCCGTCACAAAGCGCTTGTATAAATGTCAGAAGTCAAAGCCCAGCGGAGACGGGAAGCCTCCCAACAGCCCTCCAGAGAATCCCCAACGCCCCTGGACTACTCCGTTGAGTCGGGCCTGTTGGAACTTGGATTTTCTTATCTACATAATCTTCCTACGATACAGGACTATCAGGGGTGGTAGGCGAAACCTGCACTTGGAAGGACAGCACCGGTCCCGTACACCACCTGGGTGGCAAGAGCCGTTTAGCCCTTCTTTGCTTCGGTTTCCTCAATACCGAAACGACGGCAAAAATGCTCGAGTCTCCACCGATTCCTCGACCCAGGCGATCCTCCCAGAACCGAGAACGCTCTTAGAATGGTGCGCAAAACACCCGGGCGTGGCGAGCAGGTGGCCTCCGTGCGCCCGCCGCGCGGTGAGAGCGCAGACAGGTGCCCGCGGACGCGCAGTACCCTCTCGCCTTGCTGCCCTCCGCGGGCACGCGGGCCCAGGGCCTCCCGGGCCAGTGTCTCGGCGCGGCCTCCCCGGGTGCGCGGTGCCCAGCCCAGCCGCGAGGCCACCCGCCCCGCCTCCCTGCGCGCGGTGCCCGGTGCCCACGCTGCGGAGGGGACGCGCGGCCCTAGCCCGCCCGGGAGAGGGGCTTCCTGGAGGCGGAGCCCGCGCCGCCGGCCCGCCGCAGCTCACCAGTTCCCCGAGCCCACGATGCACACTTTCAGCGGCGCCGCTGCCATGGCCAGGATGGAACGCACCAGCCCGACCCGTGCCTCCCCAGCCGGCAGCCTGCCTGCCTCCGCGCGCACGGCTTTGCCCACAGCGGCTCGCGGGGGCCCCGCCCCTCCCGCCTCTCCGCCAATAGCCGCGACCACCGCCGCCCGGGCGCCCCGGGCCCCAGCTGACAGCCTGGGAGGACCCGCCCCGCCACTCCCGAGAACCACTGCGCACGCCTGAGCCTGGCTGGTCCCCGGCCCGGCTCCTGCGCTGGCCCGCCCCTGCCTGAGGCATGCCGGGACTTGTAGTCCGCGCCCCCGCTGCCCCCGCCACCCCCGCCGCCGCGCGCCCCGGAATAAGCTGCTGCGGCCGCGCCACGTGCACCCGCGGGTGGTTGCGCAGCTGCTCTCTCTTAGCGCCCGCGGCTGCACCGCTGTCCCCGCGGAACAGGCCTGCTCCGGCTCGTCGTGGTGCCCACTCCCACTCGCACCCTTCTCCCCACGCGGGAAGAGCTGCCACACTGCAGTCTGGAGCCGAGAGAGGGTCTCAGGTTGACTCTGGAGTCGACTCGACTTGGGCCGAAGCTCAAAGTACCCGCACCTGCCTCATTTGTGGAAACAGGAGACAGTCTGGCACCCCTTGAACCTCGTGGTGAATTTGTGTTTTCCGAGGCATTCTGGACGTAGCTGGACAGTACCTGAGCTTCGGGGTGGACACTTTCGAGTCAAGAGAGAGACCTGGACGCCGGCGGCATCGCACTACCTCCCCTCTCCGCCCCCCCCCTTGCCTCCTCGTTGTCTTTGTCCAGGGCGCCTGGAGAGTTTATGGTACGGACATTAGAGACTGTGCTTCTCCTTCCTGACAAATAGAACATTATTTATTCATTCTGAGCGTCACTTTCCACCAGGCACCGTGCTAGACACCGTGGGAAGAGGACAAAGTGGCTTAGGACTATGGCTCACAAATTCTGCTGCATATGAGTCCCGGGAGTTTTTAAAAATCCCCAGGCCCCAGCACCACCCTGGATCGTCAGAGTCTCCTGGGGACACAAACATCAGAGTTTTTTTAAGTTCAGGAGGTGATTGCCAAAGGCAGTTAAAGATGAGCACCAAAAAGCTACAACAGCAGCCGTGACTGGCCGAAGATCCCTAGGAAAATACCAGGCCTATTAGTCTGATGTTCAGAGGATTAACAATTATTTTAGTTTTCATCCTTACATTGTAGGAAAGATTTATCCATAATACTTAAGCTAAATGCTTAAAGGGGTGAATGAGACAGATTTTCTCTATTCCTTCACTGATGGTTTGCTCTCACTTCTTTGCACTAATGGGAAGACATCTAGGCAGGAAGATGATGTGAAAGATGGACTTTTCAAGCTTTATTAGTTTTTTCTTGCTAGGAAATTTTTTTTTTTAAAGATTTTATGTATTTGAGAGTGAGAGAGCGTAAGAGTGAGGTGAGGGGCAGAGGGAGAAGCAGAGTCCCCACTGAGCAGGAAGCCTGATGTGGACTTGATCCTGGGATAATGATCTGAGCTTAAGGCAGAGGCTTAACGGAGTGAGCCACCCAGATACCCAGAAAATTTTTTTCTTAGAAAATGAGGTTGTCAGGGGGCCCCTGGGTGGCTCACTGGGTTAAGCCTCTGCCTTCGGCTCTGGTCATGATCTCGGGGTCCTGGGATCAAGCCCCGCATCGGGCTCTCTGTTCGGCGGGAAGCCTGCTTACCTCCCCTCTCTCTGCCTGCCTCTCTGCCTACTTGTGATTTCTGTCTGTCCAATAAATAAGTAAAATCTTTTAAAAAAATGAGGTTGTCAGATTAAATAATGAATTTATGGACTTAGGGAGTATCTGAGTATTGCAAAGATTTATCCCAAGTGATACAGTTTTTGCCTTTGCCTGAAAGTTTTGTACCTCATCTGGAAACTCCTGATCTCCAGTGTGACAAGGACACCTGCATGGTAACGAGCTGTCGGCAATTCTGTGGACATACCCCACAAAGCATTATCACACAGTGTTTACTGATCACCCAATAGGCACAACACGTTGTGCCAGAACATAATAAGTTATCAATTCTTTTATAGATTGGTTACAAGGATTAAGACAAAAACAAAGTAGGTGAAACCCATCCATGAACATAATGTTGAGAGAACAAAGCAAAGTGGAAGAGATGGCATGCAGTATAATTCCTCATCTGTTACTACAGAAACAAGCAAAATTAAATATATCAGTAGGGATACACCCATGTGGAATAAAACTGTGAAGGAAAACAAGGGAAAGATAAAAAGCAGGATTGTGGGACGCCTGGGTGGCTCAGTTGGTTAAGCAGCTGCCTTCGGCTCAGGTCATGATCCCAGCGTCCTGGGATCGAGTCCCACATCGGGCTCCTTGCTCGTCAGGGAGCCTGCTTCTCCTTCTGCCTCTGCCTGCCATTCTGTCTGCCTGTGCTCGCTCTCTCTCCCTCTCTCTCTCTGACAAAAAAAAAAAATCTTAAAAAAAAAAAAAAAAGCAGGATTGTGGTTATGGTGGAGGGAAGGGTTGGTTATTCTTTATAACATTTGCCTGTGTTATAAACATGTTTTAATATATATGTAATGAAAATCATAGGAGTGAAGAGAAGGGACAGTACAGAAGACTGAGGAAAGCCGATTTTGAGGGAGCTGGTCTTCTGACCTGCTTCTGGTCATCTAAGATGGCAGTGCTGACATTGTTGGCCTTCTTTGTGTCACTTTCCCTAACAGGAGGGAGCAGCCTAGAAGGCTGGAGTTAGCCTATCTCATTGGGCCAGGGCTGACACTTTGAGGACCTGGAGAAGCTGTAGTTTGTATATGATTTTGTACAGGGACGCATGCAATGTGTCTGAGAACATGACTAGGGTACACAGGTATCATGGTAAAAACTGGCTTCACAGCTAGAAGAAGCCAGGCAGCCCTTTGGAAACAGCCCAGAAAGTCCTTAGCTAGGTCACTGAGTTCATGAAATACACTCTATTTTCTGCATTACAGGAGGCAATGTTTTGCAACTTTGCAACAGTATTGCCAAACTTCTCTGTATAACTATAGACTCTCCTTTAGCTCCAGGTAACATTTTCCCCAGCTCTGTTAAGCCCTCCCCACCAACATCCTACCCTTCCGCAGGCCTTTCTGACGTCCGCCACCTGCCAGGTCCCACAGCCACGTCCGCCACCTGCCAGGTCCCACAGCCAAAGACAATGCTGCTCGCTGTGTGGCAGCCGCCTCCCACTTGTGGGTAGCAAAATCTGCTCTGGTTATCACTTGTTGCATAACAAACCGCCCCCAAACTTAGATTTAAAACAACCACGTTCAGGGGCGCCTGGGTGGCTCAGTGGGTTAAGCTGCTGCCTTTGGCTCGGGTCATGATCTCAGGTCCCTGGGATTGAGTCCCTCATTGGGCTCTTTGCTCAGCGGGGAGCCTGCTTCCCTCTCTCTCTCTCTCTCTGCCTGCCTCTTCGTCTACTTGTGATCTCTCTCTGTCAAATAAATAAATAAAATCTTTAAAAAAAAAAAATTAAAACAACCACGTTCAATTATTTAGCCCCAGAATCGGCAGCTTAGGCCAGTCCCAGAGAGGAGGGGGCCCCCAGCACGGGGAAGAACGTTCCACAGGGCTGGAGGATCCACTTTCAAGATGGCCCATTCATAGGGCTGGCTAGTTGGTGATGACTGCTGGCTGCGAGCCTCAGCTGTGGGCTGCAGTCTGGCAGGCTGAGTCTTCTCTGTGTGGGCCTCTCCAGAAGCAGCTTCCCCATTGTCTGGTTCCACCAGCAAGTATCCCAAGAGAAACGAAATGGAAATCACTGGTTTCTTAAGATCTGAACCTCCCTAATTATTACACACTTCTGTCATGGTCTTTTGGTCAAGACAACACAGGACCCAAATTCAAGGGGGAAGGGATACATGATGAATTCTTACAGTTAAGCCAGATTTTAAAATGTTATTAAAATCGTAAGAGAATATGTCATTTATGGTATTGTATGTATATTTATTGAAAAAATCCATGTATAAGTGGACCTGTTCTGTTCCAACCCATGCATTTTTTCAATAAATATAGTACAGTACAAAAATGTATTTCCTCTTACTTATGATTTTCTTAGTAACATTTCCCTTTACTTTGTTGTAAGAATACAGTGTATAATACGTATTTAATACAAAATATGTTAATTGACTGTTTATGTTATCAGTAAGGCTTCTAGTCAACTAGGCTATTAGTAATTAAGTTTGGAGAGAGTCAAAAGTTATATAAGAATTTTCAATTATGGGGGATGGTTAGTACCTGCAACACCTGCCTTGTTCAAGGGCCAAGTGCATATATTCATATTACAAGTGAGGAAATTGAGGTACAGACTCAAAAAAGAAGGACTTTATAAATGTCCTATGGGGAGTCAGGGCCAGGCTTTTTGGATTCCGTATCTCATACTCATCCGATTATGCATTCATTCAACACATATTTACTGAGCATCTACTATGTGCCAGTCACTGTCCTGGGTCCCAGGGATTAAATATTAGACAAGAAAGTCAACGTCCCTTCCCACTTTTTTTTAAATTTAAATTTTATTTATTATATTTTTTTAAATTTTATTCTTTAAAAAAGATTTTATTTATTTGAGAGAGGGATGCAGAGTGAGCATGATCAGGGAGAAGGGGCAGAAGGAGAAGCAGACTCCCCACTGAGCAGGGAGCCTGGCACAGGACTCCATCCCAGGACCCTGGCATCATGACCTGAGCTGAAGGCAGACTCTTAACGAGCTGAGCCACCTAGGTGCCCTTGGGTCCTTTCCTTCTTAGATGCTTAAACTTAAAAGGAGGGGCACCTGGGTGGCTCAATATTTAAGCATCTGCCTTCGCCTCAGGTCATGATCCCAGTGTTCTGGGATCAAGCCCTTCATCAGGCTCCCTGCTTAGCAGGAAGCTGCTTCTCCCTCTCCCACTCCCCCTGCTTGTGTTCCCTCTCTCGCTGTGCCTCTCTCTGTCAAAGAAATAAAATATTTTAAAAAATAATAAATTTAAAAGGAGATAGAGACCAATGGGCAGATAATTACCCAATGGTG